TACAGTAAGGGTTGTCATTTTGCTCAAATCCGGCTTCTCTCCAGTGTGGATTCTCATGTGATGTTTCAGACTTTGTTTGTATAAGAAACGCTTTCCACACTGAAAGCAGGTAAAAGATTTTTTGGCTTTTCTTTTCGGTGAGTGGCTCGAAGACTTTATTACGGATTTGACATCATGTTTCTCCTCCGCTTCAGCAATTTCTTCGCTTTCCTTGATTTCTCCCTTCAGGTCTAAAATGTAAGTAAAAGAGGTTTGATTTTCAGTAAATCATAAAATGAGAAAATCATGAAAGATAAGTTTGAAGGAAAAGAACACACAAGTGTTTTTGTATTAATAACTATTAGATACAAACCAAAAAACACTGGGTTAAAAACAACCCAAGGTCTGGGTAAATATAGGACAGAACACATTTGGGGTTAATTTTACCCAGCGAATTGGGTTGCTTATTTAACCCATCATAATGGGTTGATACATTTTTATTATAGTATAGCTTATTTTTTACTTTATACATGAAATAATGTTTACAGATTAACTTAAATCCTCTAAACTTTTGTAAAATACTCCACACAACCACTGGTTTGCATGATAACTTATGCAATTTATTTATGCCTTTATTTATCATTTACAGCATTGTTTATCGTATTTATGTATACATATTGCCTATTTAAACTCGTTTAACAAACATTAAAAGTAAAAATGAAACATTAAACAGAAGTAATTCAGGTGTAATCGACCCGTAACGCGGCTGGCTCTCCTGCCCGAGCTGGAGTCCTGTTCGGTGGGGAACTGCTAACGGATGAGTGCTGCCCTGTCAGATTTTGTTACCTCCCATTAAAACAGTGGGTAGTACAATTCGACAAACCTGTAAAATTATGGTTTATTAAAGTCTGCACCTACCCCAACCCTAAACTTACCCTTACAGTAATGCAGATACATTAAATGTTGTTCAGCACGAGAAAAATGACATAATATTGATGTGCGCATGCGCAGTAAACCCTGGTAGGACAATCTGACGGGTAGATAAAATGTCAGGACACCGGCACACCCCTAATATGTAGTCCAACCTCCTGATGTTGACAACAATCAATATGAATGTTTCTCACTCTTGTCACAGTGTGAACACTTGTAAGGCTTCTCTCTAGTGTGAATTCTCTGGTGCAGTTTCAGTTCAGCATCTGTAGGAAAAGTCTTCCTACAATCAAAGCACATGATTCTTCACAACGCTGTGCCTTTTCTGGTGTAACTGTAATGCACCCAGCTCACAAATACTCTTTCCACACAAAGAACACATGTGAGGCTTCTCTTGTGTATGCATTTTCAGGTGCCTCTTGAGGGAATTTGGCCTCCCAAAAAAACTACTGCAATGATCACAATTAAATGTTCTCTCTCCAGAATGACAACACGCATGTAATTTGAAAGCACTTACATTTGCAAAACTCTTCCCACACTTGCCACATGTATGTTGGTTCTCTCCAGAATGAATTCTCATGTGAAGTTTAAGACTTTTTTCGGTTTGTGAAACTCTTCCCGCATTGATCACATGTGTGCAGATTCTCTCCAGTGTGGGTTCTCAGGTGTTCATTAAAGTGTCCTTTTTGTGAGAAACTCCTTCCACATTGATCACATTTGTGTGGCTTCTCTCCGGTGTGGATTTTTACGTGTTCCTTAAGGTGTCCTTTTTGTGTGAAACTTTTCCCACATTGATCACATGTGTGCAGATTCTGTCCTGTGTGAAGTCTCATATGAAGGTTAAGACTTCTTTTGTTTGGGAAACGTTTTCCACACTGACGGCAGGTGAAAGTTTCTTTGGATATTCTTTTCAGTAAAAAACTTTCAGTCTGTGAGACTCCAGAATTAACATCATGAAGTTTCCCCTCCACTTCATTCAGTTCTTTACTCTCCTCATTCTCCTCCATCAGGTCTAAAATGGAAGTTTAAAAGCTTTCATTTTCAGTAAATCATATAAAATCCAAGAGACAAATGTAAAGGGAAAGGACACTGAAGTGAACCATGCAGACAATATTATGAGTGTTTGACTAATTTATATAAATTATTTGCCCCTGGAATTTTTCATGAATGGAGTATAATAATCTTGCAGTTTTTAAAAAATTGAGAAACGTTCTGTATCTTAATGATGGCGATTTATCAACGATGTCGGTGCAGGTTACATAGTTTCGCCAGTAGGTGGCAGCAAGAGACTGACTTTAAGAGAAAGTTCATTAAAAACGCTGATTCATAGAATGAAGCAAGGTTGTAAACAAGACAATTAATTATATATTGTTTTGCATTTGTATTGAAACATAAAACTTAAAAAAATGCTTCACTACTTTTACATATCTAAATTTAATACATTAGCTGACAACACTGATCATGTTAACACTTCACATTTATTAAAACACTGGCTCTTGCATGAAACAGTCGAGCATGAAAGGCCAATGGCCAAGGTCAGGATTTTTGTTAAATAATGCATTCAATTTTGGTTTATTTTTCACCAAACCTTATTATATACCCCCAGAACACTTGGAAAATACGGCACATGTCACATTGGATCAGTCTGTGATACTTTTTGTGATACTCACTATTTCTCTGCCTTTATATGGATGAGCATGAGCAGGACATTTTTTTTTTCAATTCTCTTTTTGTGGGTCGATGAAGATAAAAGGCCATTCAATATTAGAACAACACCAGGATGAGTATGCTGACTTAATTTTCAAATTAGGGCAAACGATACCTTTAATGTTCTTCAGAACCTTTAAAGAAGAATTAGGAAAAAACACCAACCTCTTTGTTCTTCAGTATCTGTGGTTTTATTCTGCAGAGTTCAGGATCACTCATTTCCTTCATAAACTCTGTCTTCTTCACTTGTAGGCTGAATATTCCAGCATTGAATTGCTGCAGGAGGAATTTCACGGATGGGGGGATTGTTGTGTGATAGGTGAAGCAGATCTGCCCCCCCCAAAAAAAAAGATCAGATTGATGCTTTCATACATTCGCACATTTTATGCATTTGTTTTATGTTCATCTATCAAAATGTGAAGTTTCTGATTTGTATGTTTTACAGTTTTGTCAGTGAATCAATCTATTTTCAACATTTTTTAACATTGCATGTATTATTAGTTTTATCTGCCAAATGAACAAAGAAAAACATGAATAATAGAAAAACATGAATAAATACCAGAATGAAAAGAATCCAACTTTTAAAAAAATGTAGGAAAAAAAATCTGTAAAATAATTAACTCTAAAAAAAAAAATTTGATGAGTCTTTGTTTAGGCTACTGGTTTTTAGTTTGTAGTTGTTTTTGCATGAAACACAGGCTATAACAAAAAAAGATCTATATCAAAAGTTGTGATCTTCGTTGTGATTTAGTGTGCGTTCAGGTCACTGCCCTTCAGCGTTTTTAAGACCTGGGACAGTCTTGCGCACTTACTTCCTGTCTCGACACACGCGCTCTCAAGTGGCCAAAACCGCAAGTGTGGGTATTTGGACAAGGCATAGGTCCACTTTCATGCAAAGTTAGCTCCAAACCTAATCAAATATACCAGAACAAGCGAATCAAGGTATTTAGGATTACTAGAAGGCAGGTGAGTTTGAGCAAGGTTGGAGCTAAACGCAGGAAAATTAAATTAAGAGTTAAGAATCCCTGATCTAGTGCATGTTTGTATGCGTAAATAAATAAATACAAACAGCAGATGTGAAATTAAATGGCATAAAACTGCAAAATATTGTTATTAGTATCTAGAGGACTGAATGGTTGCAAGGTTCATATTAGTATCCAAAGAGTACATCTTAGAACCTAAAAGGTACAAAAGTGTACCTTTTGAAAAGGTACCGCCCCAGTGACAGCTTTTGTACCTTTTTTTCTAAAAGTGCATGTTAAAAATATAAAACAAAAACTAACTTAACAGTTTTATAGTTCTCATTTAGATGTGAGTCAATTCAAAATTTAAAACGAGTAACTTTAATATCTGCTTAGATTTTCTTTTGAGAATTTATATTAGTGTTATTTTGTTTTTAATCGAAGAAACGCTCTTTGCTAAATCACAAGGAGTTGGATGAATGGATATGTGGTTAACGGTGATTCGTAAATATTTTTTCTTCTGGTTTTTGCTCTCAAGTGGCAAGTGATTGTTTTAGTTTTGTCATTTTGACACCTAAAACCATTTTTTACTGTGTTTTCAGCTAGTATTGTTAAGAAACACATTCATTTTTAATATTAGTACAGTGTGAGCAAATGCAAAATGGTGGCACATTATCAGATTTCAAACAACAAAATGCAGTCTGCAGAAAAAAATCCTGCTCATGTTGACAAGTTGAATATGTTCGGCCTTCGCATCAAAACTGAAATGTTTGTATAATGGTATTATGAGCATGTGTTTGAATTGCTAAGTAAACCAGGGGAATATTTACTGCTGCCATGTAATTTTGTCTATTAAAAATGTTTCTCTGTGTTTCAGGTGTGTTTGATTCTTCTGATGCAGATGAAGTGAAGTCAGTATCAGTGACTGAGGGAGATTCTGTCACTCTAAACACTGATTACTGAAGTACAGAGAGATGATCAGATACCGTGGATGTTTAACGTTAACAGTTCAGACACTCGTATTGCTGAAATCCACAGACAGAACGTCTATATAGATGATAGTACTCTGATATTTCGAACTGGAAATGCCAGTGACAGTCGAACTGGAGCTCTGACCATCAGGAACATTAGAACTGAACACTCTGGACTTTATAAACTAACAATTATCAAAGGAGGGGTCACATACAAGAGTTTTTCAGTTGCTGTCTATGGTGAGTAAGATTAAATGTTTAATGATGTCAAGAAATAAAGGTGGTGGAAAATAAATAACTGTTTATGTTTTGTAATAATGGAATTAAGTAAAAATGTATGTTTCACCTGAACTTTTGTATACTAACATTACTTTTAGATATTTATTATTACAATTATTATTATTTAAATTAAGTAACATTTCTATATCCATTTATTATCTAATATTTCCAGCTCCTCTTCCCATTCCTGTCATCACCAGAGGCACTTCAAACTGTTCTTCATCATCATCATCAGGATCATCAGTGTCTAAATGTTCACTGCTGTGTTCAGTGTTGAATGTGAGTGATGTGACTCTCTCCTGGTACAAAGGAAACAGTTTATTGTCCAGCATCAGTGTGTCTGATCTCAGCATCAGTCTCTCTCTACCTCTGGAGGTGGAATATCAGGAGAAAAACACCTACAGCTGTGTGCTCAGCAATCCCATCAGCAACCAGACCAGACATCTGGACATCAGTCAACTCTGTCAGCCATGTATTGGTAAGTCAGTGGTGATATTAGTGATTATAATTAGTGATTAAATATATTCTTCAAGCTTTCCAATCATGTCTGAGAAGCTTTCCAAGACATGTTAATGAGTTGAGAGCTATGGCAACAATGTCTTGACTGATAATTATTATTGTTCTGCTGATCATTACAGAACTCATTCAGCAGTCACATTCAGTGAGATTATATGTAGTGATAGTTCTGATCTTTGCTGTAGTTGTGGGGGTGATATACTTACACCACAGGATATGCAAACAAGCAAGATCAGAACCCTTACGAAAAAGAAGTTTATTCAAGTGAGCTATTAGTATACTTCTTTTAAACTAAAAAATAGGAACGTATACTTTTAGTCTACTTTTTATGTACTTCTCAGAAATGGGCTTTATGTACTTCTCAGAAATATACTTAAAATGACATTTAAGTATACTTGACTTATACTTAGAAAAAGTCTAAATATATTTTAGCTATAATTGTGCTCCTAGAATCCGTGTTTTCATTGTTATACTGTAGGGGGCGCTAGTACACATCTTCTGTACAGAATTTCCAAAAAACACAAGTGAAGAAGAAACCGAAACAACAGATGCTTCCACATGTATTCTAACACGATCATCAGACATAAAACAGCATCAAAACTGTGTAAAGTTGATGTAATGTCGACCAATGAAGAGGTAATAATGACTGTCAAGCTTTGGGGTGTTGATCGACTTTATCTACGTTTTGATTATCATTCTGAATCTAATTCATAGTCTTTTTTCTGCTTTTTGTTCAAAATGTTGTTTATTTCTTTATTTTTTATTTATGAAACTTATCCACATTCAAGTGTTTAAAAAAAGAATGCATGAAGCTAGAATAAAATGTTTTTGTTTACAAGCAGATACCCTGTTCTTTTGATGTTTTATTTCAGATATTCATGTAACAAAATATATACAAATTAATACCTAAATAGGGACATAGTAGTATACTTAAAGTATGATGTAAAGTTCACTTAAAGAAAACTTACGAGTATACTTGCAGTATAAAACTACTAAACTAGTACTTTACTGAGACTACACTTCAAATTGTACTAAAAATGCTACTACAAGTATTTAATTAGTAAACTATCACTATACCTACAAGTTCACTTTTAGTATAGTTGCAGTACAAGCTAAAAAAATTTATGTAAACTAGTTGTGTACTCAAAGTTTACTACTGTTATACTTAAAGTATACTTAAAAGTATACTTTTATAGACTAGAAAGTGGGCCAATTTAGTCCCAAGGAGTATTGAAATAGTACACTTACAAGTATACTACTAGTACACTGATATTTGTATACTTACTACATAAAGTATACTTTAAAATATACTTAAGTATACTTAATAAAATAAACTTGAAGTATACTACTTTTTGGTAAGGGAAGGCAAGTACCTTACGCATTAAATAATACAAGGCTTTCTAGGACAAAATCATGTGCTATGAAGATGTGCTGGAATTAATGTTTTTAAAAATGTTTGTAAGTTGCTTTGGATAAAAGCGTCTGCTAAATGACTAAATGTATGTAAACACCATGTCACTGCAAACTGCAAATATTGTATATTGTTGTGCCATCATTTTCCACTAGAGGCAGTAGCCTACATCCTGTTTAGTTGTCAAAGAAAACAGCATAGGAATGTATAGCCTATTGCTTTATATAATATAAATGATGATCATATGAGGTATGTGTACCTAATGCTGATGTCAGATACACTCAGAATCTTCTCACAATGACCTGTGTTTGTAGATCTGAGAATCATAGAAAAGCAAAGCATGTCAGAATACACACAGATCATCTGCTGCCTTCAGATGGGACATCTGCCACAGGTCAGTAAACAGTTCATCTGATAATGACTGACTTTCTTTTTCTTTCTTTTTTTTTTGTTTCTTTCTTTCTTTCTTTCTTTTCTTTCAATATAACAGTTATTCATTCAGAATTACACTGGTTCTGATGAATTATTTTGATTCACTGAAAAGAACCGGCTAATAAGAGTCATTAGTTCGGGAATCAAATCACATTGATTGCGCTGAATGTTTTTGTTTTTGATTCACTGAAAAGAACGCCTCATAAGAATAATTCCTTCAGGGGTCGCACTTTGGTGCGCTGTATTTTTCATAGACTACAGAAAAGAACCGACTCATACGAGTCATTCGTTCGGGAATGAGATTACACTGGTTTCGCTGAATGCTTTGATTCACTGAAAAGAACCGGCTCATAAGAATCATTCACGTGCAGAGTCGGACCGGTCCCGCTATAGATTCAGTAGTGGTGTCATTAGATCGTCATTAGGCTCAGGGAATATTTTTGTTAAATGGAAGCAGTTCTGTATCCGGTTCTCGGTTAGACCTATACTCTATTTTTATAGTAGAATTATTGATTAGTTTGTGATATTAATGTTTCTCTCTGCCTCTAACAGAAATCATTGATGGATGTGGGCAGAACCGAGACAGCTGTGAACTATCAACACACAGTGAATTTGAAAAGGCAGCTCTCAAGAGAATATCACTTAGACCCAGAGTTCCTGTGTAGGAGTTATTGAATTAAGATATCTTTTGTCTTATAGGCTATACTTAATATTATATTACTAAATACTTGTATGGAAATACTTTTTTATCGGTTACCTAAAAAGATTTGCAGCAGTCTTTTAGTTTTTTTTCACTTTGATGTCTAAAACAAATGTAATCTTGTGCATTCATGTTATGTTTAAGAGTTTAGGCCTTAAACAAACATCACCAGAGGGGGCTACAGACAGCATTTAAAGCACCTTATATACAACACACTAATTATTGGCCCCTGATAAATGTATGTGATTATCAAATACATCCAACTAGTGCATATTTAGAAAAACAATTAAAACCTTGCTGACTGACAAAAGTCCAGTATGAACACACATAATGGTCATGGGTGTTATGTTTCCTTCACTGCCTTTACAAAAAGGCTATTATACTTCATTGTTTTTATGCTGCAGTTTCACTTTATATAGAGCAGATGTTGTGTGTAGTTGCAGGGGAATAGCAGTCCCCCATCACACCTTCTGTTTGTGAAGCCCTATCATTTACTGCAGATGTCATCCAGGGTGACCATTGCCCCATCTTGCAACTGCTTGTTGCTGAGAGGCAAGACAAAACATCAGATGTCAGTTTCCGCTCTTCTGCAATGAAGGTCGATGCATTGCTCTGAGCTGCCATTGTACTGTAGGCAATCCAAACAAAGACTGGACTCATGCATTTTCAGAGTGTTTACAGGAAGGAGGAGGGTTTTAGTGATATATAGTTTGTTGTATTTCAAAAGATCAAGGGGAAATTAGATTTTACATCATTTGACCACTTCACACCAATTATAAATTCAGGTTTTATTGTGTGGTAGAAAATTAGGAAACAAAATGGGTTAAAATAATAAAAGTAAATGCAAAGTATTACAGATATTTAAAAAAAAATCTGTTGCCACAAAGTATTTCTTATTTCTGTTCGTATTTCTGTTTTGCATCCAAACAGACCTGCTTTTTCTTTGCTTTTTTAATGCACCGAAACAAATGCTTCATGTGACACATTACCTGCTCTGATCAAGATGAGATGCGCTGTGGTCTTTGGTCAGATGTGGTGCGGGTGTCTATTATTGTAGATATGAGATGCAGAAGGTGTGCAGAACATGCTGTGGAAACACTGTTTGTGGGTGAAGTGCTAATGACGGCCTGTAACGGTACTGTAGACAAAAAAAAGTAAATGTGTCATAGCATTACATTAAAACAACATACTTCATCATAGAAATGACTAAATTAGAATAGAATAAGATGTTCTGAAGAACTTTTACCAGAAACTGCATGTTACGGAAGTTGCAAAGAATTGAGGCAAACGTGATAGCGGAAAAGCTAGAAGAAATATAATAGTTTACAGAAATGCTTACTTGAACTTGTTGCTCATAGGAAATAAAAGTCTGCATTGACCTTGAGTTCCCATGAGTAAGAACAATGAGCCAACTGTGATTGAATATAGAAAACAGTTGTTTAGTTCCCACAAAACACCAGGCATCTGCAGATTCATTGTAAATCATAACTGGCAGTATAGAACTGTGAACATTATGGATGGTATTCAAATTATTTGAATGTGTAATTTAAATTATTTTTGTTAAACACAGGAATAGCGCAGGAATATTAGTCACTAGTACATTTATTATACACACTTCTTTCTCAAAAGAAGATTCTGTACAGGAAATAGTGGCCAACCAAAACCCAAAGTGTCAGAACATCTCTAGTGTGAACTAGTGGCTATAGAAAGGAAATGGCATTAGCTATTCAATATGTAACTTTATGCAATTGTTGTGCCTGATTTAGGACTAAGATCTCAGGTTTACTGATGAGATTAATTGGCTCTTGTGCTTAAGGATGAATCTTGAGCTGATGTAAACCTACCTTTCCTTGTATTTTCAGTCTAAATACCCATCAACTGATTTTTTGATTTATAGACTCAGCGAACAGCTTTTTTTGCAATTTGTTTGGTATGCAAATAATAAAAATGGTGTAAGAACAATGAGCCAACTGTGATTGAATATAGAAAACCGTTGTTTAGTTCCCACAAAACACCAGGCATCTGCAGATTCATTGTAAATCATAATTGGCAGTATAGAACTGTGAACATTATGGATGGTATTCAAATTATTTTAATGAGTAATTTAAATTATTTTTGTTAAACACAGGAATAGCGCAGGAATATTATTCACTAGTACATTTATTATACACACTTCTTTCTCAAAAGAAGATTCTGTACAGGAAATGGTGGCCAACCAAAACCCAAAGTGTCAGAACATCTCTAGTGTGAACTAGTGGCTATAGAAAGGAAATGGCATTAGCTATTCAATATGTAACTTTATGTAATTGTTGTGCCTGATTTAGGACTAAGATCTCAGGTTTACTGATTAGATTAATTGGCTCTTGTGCTTAAGGATGAATCTTGAGCTGATGTAAACCTACCTTTCCTTGTATTTTCAGTCTAAATACCCATCAACTGATTTTTTGATTTATAGACTCAGCGAACAGCTTTTTTTGCAATTTGTTTGGTATGCAAATAATAAAAATGGTATTTAGATTAGAGATTAGAGAAAACACTTTACTTGATCAGAGCTGTACTCAACAGGGGTTATTTTTTTATTTGCTGAGAGGAAAATGACAAGGAGTTAAGATGAGAGAAGTGCTGCAAAACCACAAGTTGAACAAAATAAATACAATCATAAAAAAAATCTGCACTTCAACACAGTTCCTGTTCACAGTCTTCATCCTGTTTGTGTCAGTGAAAGAGCTGAATGCCCCTGATGTTCGTATAGCTATACTGTAAAGACATCAAGGACTGATCCGCACTAAGTTTAGGCTGCTGTAAAGCTAAGCTCATCACTGAAGCTACAGGAGGACCCCTAAAGGGCGGAGCGATTTTATCCAGAAAAAGTAGGATATCCGAAATCTGGAAGTCTGAAACTGAAATCAAGAAGTAGCGTTTTTGATTTTGTTTGCTTTTTTTCTTCACAGAAAAAGTATCGTTCGTTTTTGAAATGGATGGATGGCTTAATCGACGTACAGTAACAGGCCCACGCACATCTTAAGCGACTATGGGCTTTTGTGTATCCCATTTTGTAAATTTAAAGCGAAAACGATACTAAAGTAACAGTTTTTAATAGTATTCATACTATAGTACCATTGACTGCATTCCTCGAAATGGCCTTTGTTTGTTTTTAACGTGTTACGTTATCTGCATCGACTTATATTATTTTGAGGGGGGAAAAGCAGACGAGTAGCTACTAAATCATGAGGTGTTTATTGATCGGATATGTACGTAGGGGACTGTGAATATGATTCATAAATCTTTTTCCCTCTGCCTGTGGATTTGTTTCTCGCATGGTAAGAAATTTATTTTTACTAAAAAGCCTATGTGTTTCACTCCTAGTTTTTCACAAAGTTGCTATTTTTTATCTTTTCACACATTAAATAGCCTACATTCTTTATTTCGGCATTTTCCATATTACTAAGGGTGGAGTAAATGCGAAATAGGCCTAGTAGTAAACTCTGAGCTTCCAACCAACAAAAAGCAGCCCCCAGACAAAATAAATAAATAATAAACGAATAATAAATAAATAAATAAACATGCTC